ATATGGTCTAAACCATATATGGTCTAGTGTGTAAATTTGCACTATAATCGAGTTAAAATTAGTATAATCGAAGTCAATTCTAGCATAATCGTAGTCACATCTGTATAATCAAAGTCAATTATACTATAGTCGAGCCAATTCTAGTATTATCGAGTCAAATCTAGTCTAGTATAATTGTAGTCAAATGTGTAATATCGAAGTCAATTCTAGCATGGGGTAGTCAAAACTAAAATAATCGAAGTCAAATCTAAGATAATCGAAGTCAATTCATCATCTCACATTCTCACTGGTTCCGCCGCAGCCTCCACTCCTCCATGGCTCCACTACAACCCGGCGAGAGTAGGAACTCTTCCGCCTCCTTACAACCAACCTGCTTCTCACAACATCTCGCATCTCGCCACTCCAATTCCCTGTTCTTCGACTCTCGCCACCTACAAATTCCCTGCTCCTCGGCTCTCGCTACCCTACATCAACCGCTCATTGGCTCTCGACTCCCGACTCAAAGGTAACATTTTGATTTAGTTTGTGATTTGGTTCTTGCGAATATAAATGAATTTGATGATTTGGTGAAATATAAATGATTCACTGGTTCTCATGTATATGAATGTATTTTTCGTATGATTTGGTGGTAGGGGCATTTTTACTATAGAAGTGGGGCTGCTTTTTTTCTGTGTGATTTGTTCTGAGATTATGAACACACTGCTTTGCCCACAGGACACATTGACTGGTTCTTGTTGTAGTTTCTGAAGAATATGCTGCCTTTGTTTTCAGTAATCAGTCTGGAACATGAACTTTGGTTCAAATAATATTTATAAACTAAATTAACAGTTTGTTTATCAACTAAATTGCAGTTGTTCAATAGGTACATCTTAAAATGGATAAGACTTGGATGAGAGAAATCAAGTGGTCTAAGACTTACGTAGATGGCGTAAACAAATTTATGGAATTTGTTTCAACTCACGTGGGTCGAGATTGTAATGTTAGGTGCCCGTGCATGCAGTGTCTGAATGTAGCAATGCAAGATCAAAAGACAGTGAAATTTCATCTCCTGGAAAAAGGAATTGATCCAAGATATGTTAAGTGGTTTCACCATGGCGAACCATCAAGTTCTAATGATAATGGGAATCAAGATTTTGATGAGGATGACAGACTCGAACCAAATCCAGACGGTGATGGTGTGGAAGAATTGATTGCAGACCTTGCCGAAGAGTACCGGGGGGAGAAAGCCGATGAAATGTTGGATGGAGTTGGGATTGATACTGGAGGACTACCAGAATATCTTGAGGCACTCTTGATGAATGCCAAAACCGAACTATACCCAGGATGTAAGAAGATGTCAAGAACTTCTTTCATTATACAGTTGCTTCATATAAAAGTTTATAACAAGTTGAGTAATAAAGCTGTGGATATGATATTGAGGCTCTTTAAATCATCACTTCTTGATGGGGAGAAACTTCCAAGTTCATGTTATGAAGCAAAAAAGTTTTTGCGGGATTTGGGTTTAGGTTATGAATGTATCCATGCATGTAAGTATGATTGTGCTTTATTCTGGAAAGGGAATAAAAATCTAGAGTCTTGTCCAGTTTGTGGGACTTCTCGGTGGAAAATTAATGATGAGAAAGGTAAGAAAATACCTCATAAGATTCTAAGGTACTTTCCACTTAAACCAAGACTCCAACGTTTATTCATGTCCCAAAAGACGTCTAAAAAGATGTTATGGCATAAAGAAAAGCGTATTGATGATGATTACATGAGACATCCGGCTGATTCCTTAGCATGGAAAGACTTCGATAGTCAATATCCTGATTTTGCCAAAGATCCCAGAAATGTTCGCCTAGCATTAGCATCAGACGGTTTTAATCCCTTTGGCAATTTTAGCACCACTTATAGCATGTGGCCTGTCATTCTTGCCCCTTTAAATCTGCCCCCATGGGATTGCATGAAAGATCCTTTTTTAATGTTGTCTTTGCTGATTCCTGGAAAGAACTCACCAGGAAAAGACATTGATACTTACTTGCAGCCTTTAATAGAAGAGCTAAATGAATTGTGGCTGCATGGGGTACAAACATTTGATGTCTGTTCTAAACAAAATTTCCAACTGCATGCTGCTGTGTTGTGGACAATAAATGATTTTCCTGCATATGGCGATTTATCAGGATGGAGTACGAAAGGTTCCTTGGCTTGTCCTGTTTGTAATGAAAACACAGATGCGAGTAGACTGCGGAATAAGCTATGCTATATGGGACATCGTCGTTATCTTCCAAAAGATCATGCTTGGAGAAGAAGCAGGCAATTCAACGGGAAAAGAGAACTTGCGGATCCACCAAAGTCAATAACAGGTGATGACGTGTTAAAGCAACTGGAAAAATTTGATGAAATAAGGCCAGGAAAACATAATAATAAGAAGCGAAAAAGAAAGCCGGAAGAGTTGAACTGGACAAAACGTAGCATATTTTTTAAATTGCCTTATTGGAGTAAGTTGAAATTAAGGCATAATTTAGATGTAATGCATATTGAAAAAAATATTTGTGATAGTATCCTGGGAACGCTGATGAGTATAGAGGGGAAATCAAAGGATACAATCAAGGCAAAGCAAGATTTAGAGGACATGAATATACGAAAAGAGTTGCATTTGATTAAAAGAGGAGATGGGAAATACTTTATGCCGCCGGCTTGCTACGTGATGAAGAAGTCAGAGCGGCGTGAGTTCTGCGACTTCTTAAAGTCTGTTAAATTCCCTGATGGTTACGCCTCGAACATCTCTCGCTGTGTTAGTTCAACTGATCAAAAAATATCTGGGATGAAAAGCCATGATTGTCATGTACTCCTTCAAAGGATACTTCCGATTGGTGTTCGTGGATCTTTAAATAAAGAAATATGCGTTGTGTTGTCGGAGCTTGGACACTTTTTCCAGCGGCTGTGTTGCAAGAAGTTGAAGAAATCTGAACGAGGAAATTTGTTTGATATTATGCAAACTTGAAAAAATATTTCCTCCTGCATTCTTCGATGTGATGCTCCATTTGCCTATCCATTTACCAAATGAAGCCTTACTTGGTGGTCCTGTTCAATTTAGATGGATGTTCCCAATAGAAAGGTAATAATAAAATATATAAATTTTAATTAATAAAGACTATATAATTTGTGTTCTTGAGCTGTGATGAGACATTATGGGAAAAAATCTGGTGGCTAGCTGATCAGTTTGATGCTTGTTATTTTACTTTCTCCTCAGTTCTGGTATGATTTGTCTTCTTGTTTGGGTACTTTGTTTGTTGGTTTGAGTATCAGTTGAGTAATTGTGCGTGTGAAAATTGTTTAGAGTTGAATAAGTTTATCGTTCTTGGTAAAAAAAAAAAGAGTGTATCAATGTTTTTCCAATAACTTGGTATTTGATACAGATAAATATGACTATGTTTTGTTTTGTAGATCTTTGGGTGATTTTAAGCAGACGGTGCGTAATAAAGCACATCCAGAAGGATCAATTGCAGAAGCATACATTGTAAAAGAGTCTTTGACCTTTTGCTCTATGTACTTAAGAGGTATTGAAACAAGATTTAATCGAGATGAGCGGAATGCTGATATTTCTTTCAATGATAGTTTGTCAATATTTGAACAAAAATGTCGCCCTTTTGGTGCATCAAACTTTGTGGAGCTATCAGATGAAGAATTTGATGTCATTCAATGGTTTGTTTTTCAAAATTGCGAGGAGGTTGAGCCATATATCAGGTAAGTACATAATTATAATGTTCTTATGATTTGAGTTATTATATGTAATTTTAACCTCTTATTTTTTATCTGTGCATAGAAAACACAAGGAAGAGCTTGTTTTAGCTGGTTGTCGAGATATAGAGAAGGAGCATAGATATCACTTTCCTGGATGGTTTAAGAATCATGTGAGTTATATTTGTATGATTTTTATTATACTTTACAAAAAATACACTGATATATTTATTGAAATTATTTTATGATCATATAGATGGTTGAATTGTATCAGAAAGAGCCCTCACAAGTCCATGAATCGTTGTATTCTCTTGCTTGTTCGCCTAATAGATGTATAAGAAAATATACTGGTTGCATTGTTAATGGAGTGAAATATCTGACGATAGAACGTGATGGTCGTCGGCAAACTCAAAACAGTGGTGTTATGGTAGAAGGGAGTCACGGTGATGATAGCATTGATTTTTACGGTACTGTATCTGAAATTATTCAGTTGGAATATGTGAGAAACCGCAAAGTGGTTATATTTAAATGTGATTGGTTTGATCTTAGACGGAAAATGATTGGGCTACAAAAGGAAAGAAACATTATTAGTGTTAATGTTGCGGGGAGATGGTATCAAGATGATCCATACATATTTGCTGATCAAGCCAGACAAGTTTTCTATCTCAATGATCCTAAACTCGGAAAAGATTGGCGAGTTGTACAGCCTTTTCAACATCGTCATGTATATGATGTGGATGAGATGGATGAAGAACATGTGACTGGTGACACATTAGTAGCAGATGTTGCATATCAAGAGAATGACATCGGGGGTGATTGTCAAGTTTCTCTTGATGAAGTTGCATCATTAAATAGACACGACGTGGATCAGGAGGATCTGATGGAGTTGATCATTGAAACGTTACCCGAGAAAGAGGCTACAAACATAGAGGACGTCAATGAGAACGATGAGCTTGATGATATAGACTGGTAATTTAATTATTTTTTTTTTACTTTTTTTTTGTTTTCAAAATTTTAATTGGAAATAAATATGAGTATGATCTGATAGTGCAAAAATGAGAATAGCCGCTTTCTTCATGTACATGCTGATGTTAGTGTAAGAATAGCCATTTTCTTTGAATATGTTTTGAAATGTATGTTTTATGTTTGAACAGAGGAAGAGGCATAGGAAGAGGCCCATGAGTTCAATGGAAGGGATTTGATGTAACCACATTGGCAGCATCATCAGTAGGTGTATGAAGTAGCAGAAGCTTCAGTTTGATCCTCTTGCGTCTTGTGTGCAGCAACTGGGCTGATAGGCTTTGAAGTGTTGCCTGCTAGTGTGTCTGAATCATCTTCAAGATCATGCTCATACTCAGGAACATCTCGTTCATAAGAGTTTTCAAGCAGCAGAGGCCGGTAGTTTGTTTTCTTCCTTGACCTAGGCATTTTTCCAGGATGGTGCAAATATGACTGTTGGGTTACTGTAAAGAACTTTTTAGCTGCTGAGATTTGAAAAAAAAAAAAAATAAATTAGTTGATTTTGAAATGTGTTTTCTTGGTTGTTGTTGGGATTTCATTTTAATCTACCACATTTAGGCCATCAAGCCATATGGTCTGGTTTGGTGTCGTTGAACTTTTTTTTTTTTTTTTTTTTAATTCTTATGGTTTGTGTAGTTGGGTTAGTTTCGTTTTATGAAACCGATGTTGGGTTCCAATTTGTAGTTTGGATGTTATTTAATCGTAAGCGTAATTTTAAACAGTAATTTTAATTGTAGTTTGGATGTTATTTAATCGTAAGCGTAATTTTAAATAGCCGATTTCATTCAGTTGTATGCTGGTTCTACGCTTTTGAATTTCGTTTAATTGAATCTCTTATCCGTTTTGAAAAAAAAAAAAAAAAAAAAAAAGCTAAGCAGCAGCACTGGAGGATCCTGAGAAATTGGACCTGTTTCTGTTTTTGAGGATCCTGAAAATGAAAAAACTATTCCAATTGCAGCCGAGGAAGATATATGGGAAAAATATCCGACAAGTAGATATGCAATGCTGTTAAATCGGCTTCAAATATCCGACAAGTAGATATGCAATTGCAGCAAACCTCAGCCTAACTTCCCACAGTGGGATACCCAGGATTGGAAACAGATGAAATTAAATTCAGGCTTCAAATCACATACTCCATGAACCACAACACCAGCACAAAGTACAGAGTCCCAACTCAATGCTGTTAAATCATCTTCCATATTAACTTCATTTAGCATTCTTGAACAAAAATGCAACTTTCAGAGTCAAACAAGACAAATAACACACAACCAAAGCACTCAACCATTTTACACAAGCACCTTGTAAGAAAAAATCCAATATATCATATTCCTTTGTACAACCAGAAAGAACAAATGGTAGAGAACATAATTCAGATACAGAGTAGAACTGCTTTAACAATGCTCAACTAATCAATGTTACCTCAACATGAACTTACAGTAATACTTACACTTAATATCTCCACACGCCTCAACCTATCATACCTAATCCTAACCGGCCACACTCCTCAACCTATCATGCCTCATCCTAACCAAATACCATATCCAGGAAAGCAGAGACATTATGAGGTGGAAATTCGGCTTGTTCCTCTTGAGGCTAAGAGCGATAGTTTCACCATCCCGACCGAGTACTAACAATCTAGACAGTTGATCTCAAAGAGCCAACCGACCGAGCACTAACAATCTATAAGTTAGCATGAGCAGCAGCAGCATCCTAAATGGCTCAATCGGAAAGAGTTGCAGAAATATGAGCCGGCGAGCTTCTAGGCGTGATGATGACTCTAGCCTCTGCACCGGCTTGGCCGACGACCGGACCTCCATCGAGAAGTGGCTGTACCACCCCCAGCCTCACCCTCAACCGCCTCGTTGACCTTAAGATAACGCACGATCCCCACCTAAGTCCTCGTCCTCGCCCACGATTTAGAGCACCAATTGGAAAATGATATCGAATTCCAGACTGAATTCTTCTTCCCTCGTGAAATTGATTCAGTTTTTAGGTTGCAATTGGGAGATGAGATCGCCGCCTCCGTCCTCGTCCTCACTGCCTCCGTCCTCGTCCTCGCCGCCCCTGTCCTCGTCCTCGGCGACGATTTCGAATACCAAGTGGCAGATTTCATCAATGGCAGAGGATTGATGCAGTTTTTGGGTTAGATATTGGGAGATTAGATTGAAAATTGAGATTTTGTTGTGGAGATTCTTGGGATTACTTTGGCTAGGTTTTGCTCTGCGATTTAGGATTTAGGATTGAGGGAGATGAATAGAGAATGAGGTACGGTTTTGGGGTTGTGAGTTGTGATCTCTTTTCATTTGTTTTTTCTTTTTTTTTTTTGGTTTAAATTGGTATTTTTTGGAATCTTAATGACACTTTATTAATTTTATGTTATTAATAAGGCTAATAAGGTATATGGTAGTTGTGTTGTTCATCTTTTTTTTTTTTTTATTGGTGTATTGTTCATCTTCTTCTTCTGAAGTGTTATAGCACGACAGTCCATTCTTCCGTCGAACCAAGGCCGTGAATTTTCTACGAAGCGGCCATTGAATCACGAACTATGGTTCTTCACAAGTACTATAAAATTCGATCGCCTTGGGCAAAAAAAATGATAAATTTAACCGAAGGAAGTTTCAAGAGTCAAGATTACTAAGCATAATTTTAATTATTAAATAATACTAGATATTATGAAAGCCTATTTATAAATTACATAAAATTTTCATTACTATTTACTAAATAATGATAAAATATAATGCATGACAAACATAGTCGTCATAAATTATGTGGCTTTAAGGACGACGGTAAATGGTGGCATGAATAGAGTATTCTTTGGTCACATGGAACTTCGTCATGTTTCGTATGAAGTGACAAATTTTTATGTATTATAATGTTTCGTCACAATAAATAATAATATAGTGACGAATTAATCATAAGCGTCACTGGAAATACCAACAATAGTGACGAAATTGTTTTGTCAAATGGAACTTCGTCATGTTTCGTATGAAATGGGACGAAGTTTTATATATTATAATGTTTCGTCACATTAACCAAAAATATAGTGACGTATTGGTCGATAGCGTCATTTTAAACATCTACAACAGTGACGACAATGTTTCGTCACATGGAACTTCGTCATTTTCTATACAAATTGTGACGAATGTTTGTGTATAATAATGTTTCGTCACATTAAATAATAAAATAGTGACGGATTAATCCAAAACGTCATTTTAAATACCTACAATAGTGACGACGCTATTATGTCACACAGAACTTAGTCATTTTGCGTATAAAATGTAACGACTTTTTATGTATTACAATGTTTCGTCACATTAAATAATAATATCGTGACGAACTAATCGAAAGCGTCATTTTAAATACCTACAACAGTGACGACTCTTTTTTGTCACATGGAAGTTCGTCATTTTTTGTATAAAATGTGACGATTTTTCAAGTATTATAATGGATTGTCACATTAAATAATAAAATAGTGACGATTTAGTCGTAATCGTCATTGTAAATACGTACAACAGTGACGACTTTTTTTTGGTCACATGGAATTTCGTCATAAATTGTATAAATGTGACGAATTTTTATTTATAAGTGACGTTTTAGAAAAATCGTCGTAAAAAGTTAGATTATGTGACGAAAAAACCATTCTAAGATGACGAATGGAATAGTCGTCACCGTAGTCAATGGTATAATGACGAATTTTAAAAGTCGTCACCGAAAGGCCACATATGGTGACGATTATTTATTCGTCACATGAAATTCGTCACTTTTTCACAGATTTCTTGTAGTGTTAGTTATTTCGGTTTCCTTATTCCATTATGGTTTCTAGATTGTTTAGGACTTTAATATTTTATTGCTTTAATTAGTGATTTAGTTCCTTAGGACTTTATTTATTTCCAAGCATTAGGAGTTCTTCTTAGATTAGGAATAGACTTAGTTGGCATCTATAAATAGGCCCCATTGTCATTTGAAATTATCATTCAGAAATCAATAGAAAAACCGAACTTTTGTTCAAACACTTTGCCTTAGATATCTTTTCATTTCTTTTGCAATTTTATCGTTTCAAGGGGTGCGATTGTGCAAGCCTCGAGACACCTATCGGCGATTCAAGGCACTGGTTTGTGGCTTATCGGCAATCGGGACACGCGATCTTCATCACCGTGCCGTGTCGCAGAGGCCAGGCCGTGTCTATGCTCGGGCCCAGCATCAGCACACGCACCTGTCCGTGCTAGTGAGCGAGGTTTTGGCGCAAGTCGCGCCCAAGCACCTCCGACAGCGCCCGGTAGCGTTGTCCCAGCGTCAGTGTACGCGTGGTCTCGAGCCAGTCGCTCGTGCCACGCGGTGTAAGCCATGGGTCGTGACAGCCGCACGCCCTAGCACCCAGTGCCGTGCCCAGTGAACCCTAGTTGTGTTCCTTAGGTCCAGTTGGCCACGGGACGTGCCCAACAGCACACCCGCGTGCCCAGGGTAGCCCGACAGTACCCTACTAACCCCAGTCGCGCCTGAGTCGCGTGAGTAGTGCCTGGTTGCGCCAGTTCTCGCACCAGCCACACTCGGGCCATAACCAGTCGCACGCTCCAGTGCCCAGTCGCACTCCCAGCACCCAGTTGACCTCGGCCGTGCCTAGTAGCACCCGAGTGGCACCAATCGTGCCCGTGCTTGCGCCAGCAGCGCACCAGAGCACCCAATCACCCTTAGCCGTGCCCAGCAGAACCTAGTGGCACCAGTTGTGCCAGGGCTTGTGCCAACCGCACCTGCCCGCGCCCAGTAGCGCCTAGTATCGAGGCTCGGTTGCACCCAGCTCGTGTCTAGCGCCGCGCCAGGGCACCAGCAGGCCCTGCGCGGGACCGAGCCCGGCCAATCCATGCAGCCTGTGACCACCCTGTCCAGAAAGACCCGGCTGTACAACCCAGTCCAGTTCAACCCGACCCGATTCAGTTAGTGAGCGAACCGGCCGGTTTAGCAGGCGGTTCGAGTCAGTATTGGTTCGAGTTTTTCGGTCCGAGTCTTATTCCAAAATCTAAGCATTTTTTCGAGCCAGTTCAGTTCAGTTGAGCATACCAGTCTTATTTCCGGACTCAGTATTATTTTAGCGAATCCTTGGAGCGTTCCTTTATATCCGGATAAGTTATCTGATAGAGTACAACATCTTAGCATATTATTGAGCATATGACGAGCATAGTACTTAGTATATTTGTTTGCTTATATTTTTATGTAGCTTGAGGAGTCAGCTACCAGCACAGCCGCACTTACATATTTTCAAAGCAGATCAGGTGGGGACCCAGTCTGGGTTATACATTGAGTATAATAGTCGATATCACGTTCAAGTATGTATATGAGTTTTATCCGCTTGGGGTTAAA